GAGATAAGGAAGAGAAGAAAAGCAGGAATTCTGGCTTCACTGACAACCTCAATCAGCAGATCAATCAAACATTGCTTTTGAATTCTCTACATTTCAGAAGCACTCCAAAGCTGAGCAGGACAACTCACAAAACCCTTCAGTGTTTCCATATGCTGTATGAACTTGCATTTTGTTGGGGTTTTTTTTCCCTAAAACAGATCCCTGACATTCTTGCAGTTAGCTGAAGCTTTTCAAAGTCATCTGCATGAATTATCATAGTAACCAGAGATGTGTTGCCACAGCCAATCTTGACTAGAAACTTCATCCAATCCCTTGCACAAATGTTTTGTCAAAGCTGGGGAGGGAAACTGGCCCATCACACAGAGCACAAGGCAGATGAGCTGTACACAGGCAGCTTCACACATTCTGACACTGCAGCAGCTGTTTGGTTGTTAAATCTGACAGGATATTATTGTCTGTAACCAGAAGAACAAGGCAGGATATTTTGTTCATCCAGTAACCTTATCAAATACTTGTGTCCTTCTGAAACTGAAGGCACCCCCTCTATGAATGAATACTCCTAATATTCAATTTGTGGGGAAGTTTTTTGGTTGCTCACCATTTTCACCACAGCACAGTAACATGAAGAGGTAATAGTGAAAGTGAGACTTTCACTTTCCCTCTGTAGCATTGATCTTTAAGTTACCATTAAACACAGACAGCACTCCAGGCCTTGCAAGTGACTCCCCAGTGAAATGCTCAGACAGAGGGATTTGCAGAGTGATCCAGTTGGAAATTTCCACTGGGTCATGGCAGGGGAAACAAAATGGATTTTTAGATCCTGTCTGATCCTCTTGGCCAGTGTGTTTATGCATTTTTGCCCACACCACTGAAAAGGAGGATCAAGGATTATTTTCTCCCCTCCTCCCTTCACAAGGTGTAATTTTCTAGCCTGTACACACTGAGTCAGCTTGTTTTAACAATATAGAGGGATCCATTTCTGTTCAGTCTACTGAGTAAAGTAAACTTCTTATGGTAAGGCATGACTAACCTTTATTGTTTGCTTGTAGCTCATTTGCCTTCCAGGTTTGCCTTGAAACTGATTATCTTTGTGTGTCCCCATTGGCACAGAATCAGAAATGTAAAGAAATCTGCCTGCCTGACTAAACAACATGGCTTTCTTATAGTAAAACTTCATTTAGGGGCCTACTAAGCAGTTATTAACCAGATACTCAACAAAGGCCTTATCATTTAACCTACAACAGTTTAATAACTAAGCTGAACTTCAGCTTTAGGACACCAAAAAGAAACATCACTGCCATAAATATAAATACAGTATTTAAAATCTTTAAGAATTCTTTGTTTGGTGATTTCATTCCCAAATTTGCTTAATCTGGGTCTCTGGAAGCCCTGTATTGGAGCCATTTCAGACACAGGAGGATTGTAGGTGTTCAGGTCAAGATTACACTGCATTTCCTTTTGAATAGATCCTGCACCATCACTGTTGAAACAGCTTTTATGTCTCCTGGTCCTGAAATCTCTTCAGAATCCTGCTAATGCTCCTGCAACCAGACACATGCTGCTTCCTCCAAGCTCCAGGTCTTACTGACCAAGAAGCGAAACCAAGTGGGGACCAAAGCTCTGCTTTTCTTCCCTCATAGCATTTAATAGGAACCTTGAACTACTGAGTTAGCCTTCAAATGAGGTGTATACACACAGCTCACTTAAAAAAAAAAAGTCCTCACCTCAGCATATTTGGCTGGAATATCAGCTTTCTCCACCCCGTAGTGATGTTTGCAGTTTGTGGCTGCAGCCACTTGAAGCACCACCTGACCCACACCTGAGGGAAGGACAAAACAAACCTGAGAAGAAGTTTCAGTAGAAAACCACTGCATGGGGAAATAAGAGCTTTGAGAGCAAAGGCCAACAGGAAACATGCAGGCAAGCTGTGGGACAAGGCTTCAGGGTACAATTGCAGCTCCCAGCTGTGTCTGACAGTTCCCACACGAGCTCTGACTGGTTCTCAACTGAGAAGCAGCTTCAAGGTAACTGAATTACTGAAGCAAGTCCCATTTCTTTGCAAGATGGGAAAGACTAAGAACCTGTTTTTCAACAAAAAGGGTTTCCAGTCTCGTTAGAAAGTCAGCAATGCCATTTCCCTTGTCTTGCAGGAAAGAATTTCCAGCACTGTCGTTCTGAGCTTGACATTTTTCAATATATTGAGCACTTCTCATGACAATAAGATTACAACATTTAGAGCAATGTTGATGATTATTAAATGCTACAGCCTCATTTTTACAAATTCACACAGGTTTTAGAATAGCCACATTTTTTTTTTGTTCACAGATTTTAGATGCATCCCACAAAAACAACAGATTTTAGATTATAATTGACTATTTAATTGAGTAATTCAACAGTCAAGACAAACACTGCCCCATCCCAAAACAAATACTTCTTGGTCACATACCTATGCCATTCATTGAAAAATTGGCTAAAATATTTGCCAGACCCTAGCACACTTTTTAATCTTGTCCTTGCCCACGGCAGGGGGTTGGAACCAAATGATCTTTAAGGTCCCTTCCAACTCAAACCATTCTGTGATTCAATATTTATACTGGTTTTCACCATGAAATGCAGCATAATGTCTGAGAACATGTAAAGCTTATTTAAATATGAGCTACCTCTGAATGCTACTTTAGGAATTATAGGGTTTGACACCCAACATTTCAGAAGCAACCACTATGCTAGCAAGATTAAATATTACTTAGAAATGCATGAACTTTCCATCACTCAAAATTCTACTTGCATCAGATGCTACCAGCAGTAAGTAGCTGCCATTTCTACACCTTGCCTGAATACATTTTCTCCCCTCCCTCCACCCCAGCTGATGTTAAAAGAGAAAAAAAAAAACCACTATCAGATTTCTTTCTGTATGAGTGACCCACATTCTGCACACACTGGAGCAATGTCACTCCCTATTTGTCAGAGCAGTCACTCCAGATTGTCTGCAAACATCCAGTATTCATCAATAGCACATGGATGCATCTCTTTTTTTTTCGTCTATGACTAATACAAAATGCATTCCTGGCTCACCAGGGCACTTAACCATTCTGCAGATGACCACATGGGAAAGAAGAGTGGCTGGAAGAGGAGAGAGAAGCCCATTTGCACAGAGAACATCTTGCTGTTTTCCATGTCGCTGCCTGTCGGCAGGAAGCACCACTGGTAATTGCAGGGGTGGAACTCCTGCTTTTCAGCCATTACCTCTGGAGTGTTGGGCTGGCACCAGGAGAGCTGCAGGGCTGACAGGGGGCTTTGTTGTTGGGGATTATTTTTTTTTTGTTGGATTTTTGCCAATTCCCATTTTGCATCCACGTGCATGTTTTCTACATGTTAATATGGATGAAGGATAATGGAGCTGGGGAAGGGGCTGGAGCACAAGTGTGAGCAGGAGCAGCTGAGGGAGCTGGGGGTTCAGCCTGGAGACAAGGAGCTGAGGGGAGACCTTCTTGCTCCCACCAACTGCCTGAGAGGAGGTTGGAGTGAGATGGGGTCAGTCTCTTTTCCCAAAGGAACAAGTGACAGGACAAGAGGAAATGGCTTCAATTTGTGCCAGGGGAGGTTTTGATTTGATATTGGGAACAATTTCTTTATGGAAAGGAACACCTTCTTCATGAAAAGAGTTGTCAGACCCAGGCTGCCCAGGGCAGTGGTGGAGTCCCCATCCTGCATGGATTTCAGAGTCATATAGACATAGTACTCAGGGATATAGTTTAGCTAAGGACATGTCTGCATTAGCTTAAAAGTTGGATTCAACGGTCTTCAAGGTCTTTTCCAACCAGGTCATTTTGTGTTTCTATGAAGTTTCTGAAGGAGGTAAAACATTGGACAAAGACCTGAGGCAGAACTGGTTTGCTGTTTCTTCTTATGAAGAGCAAGCAGGACAAAGACACAGGGATGATCAAGAAAATGCTGCACTGTCAGATACCACATGACACACAGAATCCCAGAGTGGTGGAGTTGGAAGGGACCTCTGGAGATCATCCCAATGCCTGCCAGAGCAGGATCCCCTAGAGCAGATCCCACAGGAACACATCCAGGTGGGGTGGGAATGTCTCCAGGGATGGAGACTCCACAGCCTCCCTGGGCAGCCTGTCCCAGGGCTCTGCCACCCTCACAGTCAAGAAGTGTTTCCTCATGTTTCACTTGACCCTCCTGTGCTCCAGTTTGTGCCCATTGCCCCTTGTCCTGTCCCTGGGCACCCCTGAGCAGAGTCTGGCCCCATCCTCCTGCCACCCCCTGGAGATATTCCCCAGCACTGATCAGACCCCCCCTCAGCCTCCTTTTCTCCAGCTGAGCAGCCCCAGCTCTCCCAGCCTTTCCTCACAGGCAGAAGCTCCAGTCCCCTCAGCATCTCCATGGTTCTGTACAGCAGTTATTAATCTTATTTTTCTTTGGCTTTTCTTTTAGCAGGAACCTCACTGCACTGTAATTTCAGTGTCCCTAATGATGATGCATAGCTCCATAAACTTCTCCTGCCATGAGCCCCATATTCCTGGCAACACACACAAAACTAACAAGCCCAGCCCCAGCCCCTGGTGGGGGTTTGACCCTGCTGCTCAGTCATTGCTCTGTGCATGTAGGTCTTGGAACAGCATTAAATCCACTGGTAAAAAAATAACATGCTATGACAGTGGTTTCATTTACACCCCACTCAAGGCTCCACTGATCACAATTTACACAAAGTTCACTCCTTTCATGCAAACTCAGCAACCTCATTCTGGTTGGAATTGTTTCCATGCTCCAAACATTCAAATCTGAATTTAAAGCTACTGAATTTCAACCATTCCTTTCAGACAGGCTTTTCAGTCCTTACACTGTCAGTCAATCTCCAAGATGCAAGTGGGGAGGTTAGCAATTAATACCTGATTTTATTTCTGATGATAGCAGGTAAAAGTAGCTAAGATTTGAGCTTGTTGCATGATCAGCAGCACGACAGGACTTCAGATATGATCTTCTCTAACCTTCCTGAACAAACAAATGCAAGTATCTATGGCAATATTTTTCTTCCAGATGGAAAATAGTTTGTGAGCTCTGATGCCTTTCTAAAGGTCTCATCTGAACATAAGTCATTGAAACAGGAAATTTCAGACATAAGTCCCACTGAGGGAGGAAGCAGGGGGTGAAACAAAATTAAAAATTCACTTAAGATCTTTGACTGGAGATGTGCTACATTTATTTTTTTTGGGGGGGTGGGACTGGCAGTCCTGCTATATTTAAACTTAAAATACATTTGTTTTTTCCACAACAGAACGTATTGTAAAATATGCTTCCCCAGAAGCCCCATTATCATGCCAGCAACAAAACCAAAACATACTTCAGTTAGAACTTTACAACCCACCCAGTAAAAGGGGAAATTCTTATTATTCCTTTCCTGCTCTGAACCAGATTTTAGCAGCAAAATGAAGAACATCATCTTCCTACTCAGTATATCTCTTCCACATGTGCTTGAGTTATATCTGGTTTCTTTACCAACTAGAAACATCTCTTTCCTTTTAAAACTCTAATCTGCTCATGAGATGCAGTTGTAGGTTGGAAGCCAGATTTTGTGGGGTCTCACAGGGCAGCTGTTAAAGCTAAATATAAATATAAAAATAAATATATTTTTGACACACTGAATAGTAGGTTGGAGTCAAAAAGCAGCTTAATTTTCAGCTTCCACACCAAGTGTTTCATGCTGGCACGGCATGGGTCAAGAAATCCCATTTTCAGACAGGAAGGGCATAAACTGAATCCACTGAAAGTGAGTAAATCCTTAGAAATGGAAATGCTATTTGTGATCTTTCAAGCATCACTTTAAACATTGTTTCTTCTTCACCAATAGCAACATAAACCAAGATTTTTCTGTAACAAGGGTTTGTTGCATTTGTCAGCCAACATTTCCCTACCACTTTGGGGAGGAATGTCTGGGATGTCTCTTCGGTCCATTTAATCTTGTCATAAAAAAGCAGGAGCATCACTGGGGATTATCTAGAAAAGGTGCTTATCCTATAACACAACCCTTAGTCCTGCTTTACTTTCCAAACATAAATTTCACTATATTATTTTTTTAAATAAAGAAAAAATAAACCAACAAGCAAGGAGAGACAAAGAAAACTCACTGAGGTTATTGGTCACTTACCACTGCCCAGGTCAACAAACAGATCATCCTCTGTCATTTTAATTTCATCTATCATTTGGGCCACTAAGTCAAAGGAAGTTTCTCCATAAACCTCTGGGGAAAAGGGCTCATAGTTGTTGAGTTTCTCTGGATCAGTCACTGAGTGGTTATAAACTTGCTGCAGGATGTGCCGGAGGAGCCCATTGGAGGGACGAGTGTTCAGCTTCATCGGTTGGGTGGTTCCTTTCCACTGAAGGTAAAGAGCAGGGAGAAGGTATGAACCCAACGTGAGGACAAGTAAACATCACCAGAACAAGGCTGCACTGACATCACGTAGACATGAGAGAAATCTCCTCCCATTCCCTGTCTCACAAGCTGATTTGCAAATGCTCTGGAAAGATAAAAAAACCCAACTGTGTCCTGGGCTGCATCAAAAGCAGCGTGGGCAGCAGGTCAAGGGAGGGGATTGTCCCCCTTTACTCTGCTCTCATGAGACCCTCCCCTTGGAGCACTGTGTCTAGTTCTGAAGCCCCCAGCATAAAAAGGACATGGAGCTCCTGGAAAGAGTCCAGAGGAGGCCACAGAGATGATCCAAGGGCTGGAGCAGCTCTGCCCTGGAGACAGGCTGGGAGGGTTGGGGTGTTCAGCCTGGAGAAGAGAAGGCTCCAGGGAGACCTTAGAGCAGCTTCCAGGGCCTGAAGGGGCTCCAGGAAAGCTGGGGAGGGGCTTGGGACAAGGGCAGGGAGGGAGAGGACAAGGGGGGATGGATGAAAACTGGAAGAGGGAGATTGAGGTTGGACATTAGAAGGAAATTGAGGTGGTGAGACACAGGCCCAAGATTTGGAAGTCCCATCCCTGGCAGTGTTGAAGGGCAGGTTGGATGGGGCTTGGAGCAGCCTGGGCTGGTGGGAGGTGTCCCTGCCCATGCAGGGGTTGGAACTGGATGATCTTTAAGGTCTCTTCCAATCCAAACCATTATGAAAACAGTGAGCAATACTAAACACATTGCACATCACCAGCTGCTTTAGATTTTGTCTCACCACAACTAACAGCTCATTTCAAACACACCTGCTGGCAACGGGGGCAAAGGGGGGATAAATAAATGTACAAATCAGTTTGCAATGTAAAGCTTCATACTGAATATTGGAGTAGCTGTAAAAGTTTCTTAACTCATTTTTATTTACTGATCACTGATGTTGACTGCAATGTCAACAAAAGAGCAGTTCCACTCTCTTTCAGGAACTGTGGGATGGGAGGGATCACATCTACTCAAACAGGGAGTGGCAGGAAAGAGATGGAAATCAATCTTCCTTTCTTCTTCAGTAGAAACCCTGTCCTAAACATTTCAGTTGTACAGTTTTAAAAATGTTTACTTCTCCCTTTCATAAGGAAAAACTAAGCAAAAAAGGACAACTCCAGGTTTCCTCCTAAATATTCATCTGTTTGAGTCAGATGGCAAGAAGATTAAACCAGTCAGATTTGCATTTCAGGCAGCTCTTGCAAATGCTGAATATTTTCAAATTTTTAACTGTTAACCAATACACATATGAAGGTGCCTGAACCTAAACAAGCACAACTTTTAGGAACAAATCCCACAAAGTAAAAGAAAAAAGTCTGGAAATAAGTCTTGTTGCTATAATACTGCACTCTTCCAATAATCCTCAGAAGCACAGCAGAGGAAAAAAATCCACCTATACTTGCAAAATTAAACAGAATAGTGACATTGATTCATTCTTTATGTTTTTCTTCCTCCAGTTCAACCTTGTATAGGGGTAAAAACCAAAAAGCTTGTTGGATTGGTCTGAAAAGAGATTACATTCTAGTTTTGCCAGAGTGATCCTGCAGAACTGAGTGGCAAGGAAATTCCTAAGTCATGGATCATTTCCACAATACACAGGAGAGTTCATATGGATTATTTAAGTACCCATAAGCCAGAGATTTCCCCATGCAAAAGTAAATCCATACGATAAATCCCTGTGAAATATGTAAATGGTAAATAGAGAAACTTTTTCTTCCCCCTAAAGGTAACTCAACCATTTCCACTTGCCAGTGGTGCCAGATGTGCAGACTAAAGAGTAACAGTTAACAAAGCTGCAGTTTGGGAGATTTTATTTTCTTTTTCTTTCCACAAGAATGTCCCTCCAATTCTACCACCTTGACCACGATCAAGAAAATAAGGTTTAATATCAGATGAGTAACTCCCCCAAAGAATGGAAGTGCTGAAAACTGGTGATGCAACTAGACCAAGACTTATAATCGAGTGCTAAACCAGTTCCAGCTTTCTGGATGTTTTTCACTCTACGTGACTTGAAACCAGCTGGATGGAGAAGAAAGGTACATACCAACTGATGAATGCTATCAATGGCTCGGTTGTACTTGTCACAAAGCCTCTGCATGCTTTCAAAGCTGCACAGGGAGAAAGAACATAGGGTCAGTTCAAAACAGAGAGCTCTGAAAGGCAGGTTGGAAGGTGCAACTTGGTGCTTCTTGCCATCGTACACAACATAAGTAGGTGGTTAGTTAGGGCTTGCTTCTTGCAGAACATTTAATTACCTACACAGCTTTAGGACTTTTTTGTACACAATTTCCTTTAAAAAAATTCCCCAGTAGACCAGGAGTACATGGCAAATTATATTTGTTCCTTGAATTAATGGAAAAAGGCTCTAACTCAAAGTATGACTTATTAGAAAGTTTCTAATTCTCCGAGTCCATTATTTCTTTTCCATATTCTCAGCTGCATAGGAATTTAAGACATCCTAGTTTTTCTGCTTTGTTCCATCACCTCTCCTTGATAACTAGTCCTGAGACAAATAGGCCCTTTTTTAGATGTTCACTCTGGAGCTGAAAATGCAGACAGACCCAGGACACAATATAAAATTCCACCAATCCTGATTGCTTCATGGGTTGTTTGGGATTACAGTCAACTCAGGCAGATGTCTTAATGACAGAAGCTGAGAGGATTAAATACATTCATCTCAGGCCAGGGAAGAAAAGATATTACCAGGAACATCATCTGCTGTGTGATCAGACCCACAAACCAACAGCAAAAGACTAACGATCTTAAGGAGTTACAGGAGTAAGAAATTAAATCATGGTCATCCCCAAATCAGGAAGGAGGCAGGGGACATCAGAAGGACATGGCTCTTCAGTCTCTTGTGATCCTCTGGCAAGGACAGCTCTCCAAGGAGTTCTGCTGACTTTCACTTCAAGCTTTCAACTGCCCATGTTTAATCCACATTCAGACAAAGCAAGAGGCTAAAATGCATTTCTATAATCCCTGCTTTTCATTCACACTCAAGTGTCAGTGTAGCTGCTACAAGCAATCTTTAATTATTAATTTTTTCAAAGGAAGTAAAAAGACTAAAACCATTACCAAAATTACAGGTTTAGGACTTTCCTGAAAAGCTACAGAAAGATAAGAGGGTGTGACTTTGGGGACCAGATGGGTTTCTCTGTCATTTGGTTTTGCTGCTGACCACACTGACACTGCCCAGTTAAACATGCCCAGTGGGGATGCCAGAACTATCAGTTACTGCACTGCAGTCACTGTGAGTAGGCCACAAATCCAAATCCAAGGATTTGATGACAAGGGATGTTTGACCCCGATTTCTACTTTTGAATTTTTCAGGGACTAACAAGTTTTGCAATCAAACAAAATGAAATTGAGAGAGGAGGAAGCAATACCTTAAGCAGATCGTGATACAAGTATCAGGACAATAGCCAGTGATTAATCAGAGTGATGCAGTTTCATCTGTAAAACTCATTCTAGAATAAGCCTAGTCCTGCTGTGGACTTGAACAAATTCAGTCTTTGAAAGCAAAGGAGGTTTTTGTAAACTGCAGCTTGAAATCATCTCCTTCCCACTCTCAGAACAGCCAAGTGAATCCACAGAACCCCAGATACACTGCAGGCCAGAATCTGCCTCTCCCAGCCTCAAGATGAATGCCACATACTGTACATTTGTTTGAAGCTGTTTGTGGCACAGGCCTCCATGTGGAACCACAAGCATCTTAAAATGACTTCTAACTGCCCAGAAGAGCAGTAGGAATAGTTGGCCTTTTCATGTCGCCCCCACCCAACCAGCATCCCACTTGTACTGAATCCCACCCAGAGGTGGGGTGGGGAAGGTCAGCCTCCCACAGCCCCAAGTGCTGACAGACATCTCTGGCATGCCACTTTCTCAACAGGAATTCTTAGTTACTACAGAAGGAGAAGCCTCTGTGCCATTCAGATTCCCAGCACTGGACACAGGCCAAGGCGCAGATACCGATCATTGTTTTGGAGTGACTAATTCCAACATACACCAGAGCTCAACTTTCTGCTGTGTGGAGTTTCCAATTATGTCCTTAATCCAACAATCCTTTGCCAATATTTCTGTTACACATTTCCTACCAAAATAACTGCGGAGTCTGAAGCCAGTTCTAACAGAAAACTTCATAGTGTCTAAGAATAACCAGTTACAAAATGATTCACTATAAAACGCTCTGGCCTGTCCTCCTGGTGGGAAATAAAAAACCCAACATTCTTCTCACCTTTTTGTATCATAGTCAATTAAAACATAGTTTTCCATAGCAAGCTTGAGATCTGGGATTTCTTCACAGACCCACCTGGAACAAGAGAAGAAATAAATGAATAAAACCTCTCCAATTAAGTACAATAAGTCTGTCTCAATTCTAGACTGGCATTGCTGTATGTTAGGACAGATCACAAATATTGTTGGGAGTAAAGCAGACATCACCAAATGCTCAAGGGAAAGCTGCAACAGCTCACATTTGTACTGAATAAACAGTAAGAGCCCCTAGACATTGGCAGTAGTTTAAAGCTCTTGAAATGGCACAACTTCAAAATGAGGTGAGAGATGTAGTCAACGCATCTAAAAAATACCCAAAGCCAGGGCTGATGTTAATCTGACATAAAATGCAATGCAGGAGAACTGTGGTATTTGAAAATAATTCTGATACTCTTAACAAGCTTTGACAAAGATGAATGTGGAGGACACTGTTGCTACAGCACCCCAAAGCAATGCCACCAATCCTTGCAGGGATATTCTCCTCTCTCTAGTGCTCTAAACTTCCCTTACACCCAACATGACCCAGCCTAGAACAGATCTTCAGAAGTTATTTTGATAAAAGATCCCACTTATACCAAGCCAGTAGAAAAGGAAAGCACACACCCACTTGCAGAGCATCTGACAAGGGCATCTCACAGAAGAGATCTCCAGTTTTGGAATGCAGGAAGATTAACTCCTTTCAAAGACAACTCTCAAAAGCCACACAAGCTTTGCACACATTTCCCTCCAAAAGCATGAAAATGGGAGGGCACTGTCATCAAAAACCCCACAGCCTGTCACAGGATGGATTCCAAAAGGAAAAGCAGAGTTTTTTCTTCCTGTACCTTGGTATATGCTTCACTTTTGTAATGGTGAGGGGAAAAACGCCTGGAGACCCAACAGTTCTGATTCACCTTCATCAACTATATAGGCAAGTAAACAGAACTTTTACATCTGTGGCTGACTCTCTTCTGACTCCCATCTCCCTAAAACTGTTAGGACTCTGATGTCTACATTTTTTTCTCTTGCAGCTGTTTATCACTGGCTGAAAAGATAAATGCTTCTTTGCATTCCTTCAACCACCACTTTCGTAACCACCCTGCAGTTCCTTTGCAGGAGGCAGGCAGAGGCAGCAGGAAAAGCTTCTCACACACTCTGCTCACTGCAATCACACTTAAAACACCATTGTGAAATATCACCTTGACTCAACTGCTCCTAACACAGTCTCCCCCCTTGCCTTCAGCACAGAAAGCACTAACACCCACGACTTCACCCATCACTTTCAGCACCATGTCTGTTTAAATCCCCTCAGAAAGGCGTCAGTAATCATTCTGACAAATGATGCCACAAGTTCCCAACGTGGAGAATCTTACCAGCATCAGTACCAGTGAGCTGGAGGGAGCAGTGGCAGCACTTCTTGTGTCATGCATTGTAGTTAGAAAAAGAGGTTTCTTTTAGAGGAAAAATTCTCAGCTCTAGCCCCACTACACACTCTTT